CATAAATGGCAAATTATTTAAAGGTAAATGTAGAAAATGTACATTATTTGAAATTGTCTTTATAGTAACTTTCAAACGAGACCGAAAGTTTGAAAATCGAACGAATGGTTGGAGAGATACAGCGCGCTTTACACGTGTATAGCGCGCCCGTGGCCACGACCGCGCGGCACCTAAATGGCTCTCGCGGGCTAACCACTCATACCACAAAATGATCATGGCATTAAATTAATCGCAAGATTACGACTCACCTCTTTCACTAAGAGAAAAAAAATCAATTTTTCTGCTCAGTTAAAAGTTATTTGGCTTTGAAATTTTAGGAATTTCCAAAGAAAAAAATTTAAATTTTGGAAAAACTGTTGGTTGATTGGGAAATTTTATAATTTAATAATACTCTGCACCCATTTAGCTCTAATTCAAAAAAAGAAAATCAAAATCGGACGATAAGGGACAGAGATATATCACTTCAAAAGACCCTAGGCCGCCATATTCAACGGCCGCCATCTTGGATCCTGCACGAATTTGATAGTGGTGCTCCGGACAAAAACGACTATTTTTTCATCTAGTATGACCTCCCAAAGTGGCAATTTCCAATAAAAAAATCGTCGATTTTGATCGTGCCCAGGGCACTAAAAGATCTTTGGAATAGACTCAAAATTTTAGAGGCACGGGCCATCTAAAGAGGGCACGTGTTTTTGTGAGATTACATCTGTTGATCATAAGTTGATGCATAACAATATTCCCTCTCGCGATCACCGAGGGGCCGGAAGGAAAGGATGCTTGGCAGCAGGCCAAAGAATTTTGCGACCTATTCCCGATGGACACACGATTTTTTTACTGGAATATAATATACCCGAATCATCATTCTTGATTCAAATAAGTTACAAACCTCATTCCTTACTCATTAGTTTAATTTTGAAGATAGTTGTGGTGGTGAAATAGGTGAGTAGTCCAGTCGATATTGACTCAAATTAGGGCTATGAAAAAAGTCTTAGGCTTAACCAGGTTAAGACGAATTCTTATGTAATTTTGGATACTGAATCCGAATTTTTCGGTTCCCCAAAGATTTTCCTTGTGCCAACTCCGGAAAATTGAAAAACCGTTTTTTTTTTCTGAATAGCTCCGATGTAGTGCAATATATTGCAAAAATAAATATTTCCGGAATTAATTAAAGCTACTGAAATTTGAACCGAACCGAAAAGTTTTAGTATGGGTCCAAAAACTGCTGCTAGAGCGGGAAGAATCTCCAAAAACGTGACAAATCGCACTTTTTCGTCTATTGTCAATGTATCTTCGTCCCCGTGCAATGTATCAAAAAAGTAATTATTTCCAATATTAAAGGTTGTAAAATTATACTCTAGATTTTTGTGGAAAATTGTATAGAAGGTCTAATGGCACCAGTATCAGAATGGTGGATAGCTCTAAAATGCACGAAAATAGTGTTTTTCATGGTTTCTTTTTTCCCTTTCCATGCTACCTGTATATCCTGGAAAGATTTGATGGAAATGAAAATTGATGAAAGGGGTACCTACGTGCAAAACGGGTCATTTCACGCTCGTGCCGGATACCATTGAAACTTGCCCTATTCATTCATCTAACAATGCACTATGTTTTCTCAAAGTTTCAAGTTCCCAAAAAATTTTGGGGGGAAGTGGCGGGGTCAAAGTTGAAAATCCGCTCAGTTTTCGCGAATTTTTTACTCGAAAACTACTTAATATTTCGAAACGCGGTTTAAACGAGCGTTTTCAACGTAAAAAGAGCTTTCAGAAAATGTATAGTATTATAGGGTTTTGTTGACTTAAACTCGAGTTATCGCCTCCGAAGCGCCGGAACGCTATAAAATGACCCGCTTTTTTGTCACGATTGGGACGATTACCAAAATAATCCATTTTTAATTTCTTTGAATAACGGATATGTTGTCCCTGACTCTCTATGGCACCTATTTGTCTTTACCGTATCCTGGGGAAACGTTTTGTTTGCGAGTTATAAGCGCGGAAAGGAGCGAAGGTCGGGAAAATCGGCTATTTTAAACTGCGCGCGGCGATGGATCAGGAGACATGTGGCAATAATGCGAGGTCGGCAGAGGAGTGTGATTCGCCGAACTGAGCAAGAGGGAGCGTTCTCCTTTCTAACCCATGCGACGCGCGCAGTTCAAAATAGCCGATTTTCCCGACTTTCGCTCCTTTCCGCGCTTTTAACTCATGAACAAAACGTTTCCCCAGGATACGGTAAAGACAAATAGGTGCCATAGAGAGTCAGGAACAACATATCCGTTATTCAAAGAAATTAAAAATGGATTATTTTGGTAATCGTCCTAAACGAGACAAAAAAGCGGGTCATTCTATAGCGTTCCGGCGCTTCGGAGGCGATAACTCGCATTCAAGTCGACAAAACCCTATGATATTTTATATTTTCTGAAAGTTCTTTTCACGTTAAAAACGCTCGTTTAAACCGCGTTTCGAAATATTTAGTAGTTGTCGAGTGAAAAATTCGTGAAAATTGAGCGGATTTTCAACTTTGACCCCTCGCCACTTCCCCCAAAATTTTTTGGGGACTTGAAATTTTGGGAAAACATGGGGCATTGTTAGATGAATGGATAGGGCAAGTTTCAATGGTATCCGACACGAGCGTGAAATGGCCCGTTTTGCACGTACCCCTTTGCTTCATTTAGCATCCTGTATGATTTCAATATGAGGACACTGCTAAAGAAGCAGGCCCGCGTTTTACTATAGCGCCGGCCCACTGTGGGCCATATCGTATCTATACCGGCGCAAAATTCAAGTTTTGAAATCCCTTTTTTCAACATCACCTCACTTATTTGTGAGTGCCATTTTTGAGGAACTCGTAACCCATCTAAATGTTTGGTTCTCCATTTTTCCCAGAAGTCAGCAAACATTTTCTTGGATTTAGAGTAGTCATCTAATGGAGAAGCGTGTTTTACTATTCGAGGAAGAGCGTCTTGTACAGGAAAAGCTGTCAATGCTCTGCCGATTTAAAAGTGACTGGGCGTAAAAGCCTCAAAACCCTCCCGAGATGAAGATAATGGCACTAGGCTTAGAATTTAAAATACCTTCGATTTGAATCATTACCATTGAAATTTCTTCTTTTTCAAAAATGTGACTATTATGATGTGGTGATTGCAAGGGGCTGAACTTCCAGTCGATTCGATTTTTGGTCGAGTAAAACTACTTGACATTGTAAACACAATGTCTGGATCTTGAAGCTTGTTATCAAAGGTTTTCTGCATCTCATTTCTCGCACCAACAAATTTTTTTGCGTTTTCGGAAAATGGCAAGATGGTATTCCTCTTTTGTATTCAAATCTTTGTAGTGCTTTCAAAAATGATTTTGTTGATAGATCCTTTATCACTTCAAGATGAACTGCTTTCCTCGTGTAGCAGACAAAAGATTGCAATATAAGTAACTCCTAACTGTTGCTGCGTTTCCTCCTGTCAATAGTACAAACTAATATTGAACCAGTGTAATCAAGAACTACATATGTGAAAGGTTGATTTCGAGTTACTTTTTGGGAAGGAAAAGGTGCCATCATTTGCGAAGTGGAAATTAAGAAAATGTTAAAGTAAATAACTCTTCCACCTCTTTTGAATTCCCTCTTTTACATGTGATGCATTTTGACACGGTTTATTGTGCTAACTCTGGACTGTGAACTTGTCAAAACTGTTACCTTACGCTGGATAAAAGTAGTTTCGAGGATGCATGTAAAAGTCTTAGATGTTCCAGATTACAGACTAATTCTGTAAATCTGTGATTTTTTGGCAGTAACATTTGATGTTTTTGTTCGTATGATAGTTTTGATTTTTACAGACATACAGCGTGCACCGACTCTTATTATGTTTTCTTCATCTATGAACAGGTACAATGTTCTAATATTGCTTGATTTGAATAATTCCGTTTCTTTAGAATGCAGCAAATGCTTTCTTTCTTCTTGAAAACATTCGTTTTGTACTGCATTCACACAAAATTTCAGTACCTCATAAAGTTCAATTGAGGAAAGTTGTCCTGCCCATAGAGTATAAGAAGTTTCTGCTCCACATTTTTTGTTCTTAATTCTTACTTTTATGTTATGAACAATTCGTAAATAGAAGCTGACAATTCTTAAAATTTGGTCTAAATCAGGAAATGACGTTGAGATGTCAAGAGCTTTTACCAGAATCAAGCGTCGTCGAAATCGGTTTGGTAGAACTCCAGAAATAAGCTTTACAAAGGAACTTCCAACGATTTTATTTATATAGATTTGTTATCCCAGAGGATTCTATTTAACATCACTGTAACCTTCCTTACTAGGGTGTTCTTTTAATATATACTTGATCCGTCTCTCCATTCTGGATCAACTGCAACCCCAAGTACTTACCTACTTATTTCAAATCGTTGTTCTGCTGTTTTTTCGATGTTATCAAGAAAGTTTCACCCTTGACCTGAGGAGCTCTGGTGCCGTTTGGGACGGAACGTCATTGATCCTTCGTCCCCCTAAGCATTACTGAATAAATACACAATGATATATGATAGAAATATTCTAAATACAGTCAATAACTACACTTTCTTGGTCTAGGAATTTTTGAGGATTTATTCAAGATTCTGCCAGATTGACTCCCTGTGAGAATACTTCAGAGCCAACATGATCATCTTCTTTTCTTTTATGTTTTTCCTTTAAATTATAATCATTAGAAGTTACTGACCCTTTCGTGCTAAAACACGTATCAATTTTTTTTGAAGAGGTCAATAGAATATATTCATTATGGTCTTAAATGCCGTGTTCAATATTCTAAAAGACGCCTGCCAAGGGGAAATATTTTCATTTACCTTTTACTAGGATTAATCGGTTTCAAGGTTTTAAGCACACTTTTGAACACATAAGTTCATACTGATATTAAGGGAGCAAGAAGCTTTTCGGATTTCATTCTATTTTGCAACATTCTCAAATGATACATACTCGTTAACAAGCTTTTAAATGAATATTTCACAGTTGGAATGATTTGTTTTCAGGTTTCCTGGAAGAATTGAGCTCTGTCAGAGAGCACACAATTACAGAATTACCTGCAGGGCTCAACTGCAATCCTCCTGTCCTTGTTCATTGTAATAATGGCGTCGGAAGAACTGGAGTTACCATTCTTTGTGATTTATTGCTCTACACTTTAGATCATAACCAGGTTTGAATTTCTTCTAAATCCGTTTCATCTATTTTCTCTGTTAAATCATATTTACAGACTACCTTCAAATACAAAAAATCAGACTGCTTAGAATGAAGCAAAGCATATCACACGTTGTCTAGTTTTTCTAAAATTTTATATTTTTAAATAGAAAAGTACTAACCACAATCATCACTCGCTATGTTGTATGCTGCATGAGACGAATTTTGTGCAAAGTCGAATTTTCACATGCTTCCATCAAACTTTTTTAAGCCTAAAGCGAGTGTTAATAATTCGTGTCTATTTTGAATCGCTACCAGAATATCATCCACTTAACTCAAAAAAAGAGGAGTAACGTTAAGGGTCTTTTTAGGCCCCACCTGGATTTTGCTAAATGTTTCATATTTTCAAAGTACTAGTCCCAGGTAGACTTTATGCCGAGTATTTTACGGAACGAAGCTCGTGCGAAGGTGCAGCAGCGCCTCAAACCTAAAATCCTGGCAATGAAAAATTATTATTTTCGTCGACTTTTTCGACTGGTAACTCTCTTTCATTAGGTGATCCCTATGTGAATTATTCCGTATTTTCCATTTCTGGCCTGTAAAAAGGACACTGATGAATTTTAAAGGGGCCGCTTTGTCCGTTGTTGCCATTTTTAGGGTTTTTTTTTAATTTTACGCACATAGAAGTCAATTTAAACTAAAACCATTTCGCGGGGAAATCAAAGCCAAAAAGTTCCAAAAATTATAATTGGAGTAAAAAATGAATGTTTAAACTCTAATGAGTACCATTACTAAACTGAGAGGGGGAGAGTGTTCAGCTCAGGTAGTTTGTAGTGGAATATTAAGTTGGAGTCACGCCGACAGATCTATACAGGTTTGGGTCTTTTTAGACCTAATCAGCAGATCACACTCGTCAGTGAATCCAACTTAACATGTCGCAAAATCCAAGACGCCATTAAAACGCCGTCATGGATATGGCCCGATAGGGTGGCCCTTATTTTTGACTTTTCAGAAATTTAAAGTGTGGAACCCTGCAAATGGTTCCATTTGATGAGGGAATGACGGGAAAAAATAAAAATGGAGAAAAACAAAAATTTAGGTGGTGCCGCAATTAGCCGAAAGTTGCGAGCGTGGCGTGCGAAGACGGGTTTTCCCGTCGTTTCGCGAATTTTTTTTTAAAAATTTTCTTTGTAAAATATTGGCTATATGTAGGCAAATCAATTTCAAGAAATTAAACAGTTCAAAGTTAATAAACTAAATCAAATAATCCACAGTTTACTTAAAGGCTTAGAGTCTGAAAATGGTTGACAGACTATTTTAATTATTTTTGTATGGTTTTATTGACTTTGGCTCTGACTTGTAAGAGATCTTGAAAGTGCAGCTCTTGTTTTTATCGGGAGTTGGCAATACAAGTACTGATTCCTTTGTAAAACTTTGCGTGAAATGGGATGGTTTCACTGGTTTTCTCTGAAACAAACCCTAAAACTAAAAAAAAAAACTCTCAAAGTTAAGGCCGTATTGAAGAAGGTATCCCCGCTTTCCTGAGAGTCCACCTTCGTAATAAGCCAAATTTTCTATGCTAAGATAAGGAGCAAATTGACGGCGTAAGTTGCCAATCACATATCTCAATTGCGGTGTCTGAATATCTCAGTTTCTATGTTATTTTTTGAAGGAGAGCAAACTGACACCAGTCCTTGAAGTTTATGCAGACTTTTCTTCTCACATGGAAAAAAAATCACGGCAGTTTTAAAGAATTGCCGTTGAGTAGTTTTCTGTTTAAAAAATAAAGTACCTAGGTATGACAGGAAGTCTGCGACGTCGCAAACCGAGTCGTATGATTGCCGACTCACACCGTCGATATGAATCAGCAGGATTGCGGTCAAAACTGAAAACACGTGTTTTTCGTTTTGGAAACCCCAAACAAAGTGGCTACCCTGTCAATGTATATTATTCGCTCTTTGCATGGAGAGTTTGACTTGATACAGAGGTGGACTCTCAGGCTAGCATGGGATATCCCCTCCATTACAGCATCAACTTTCAGAGCTTTTTTCAGTTTTGGAATTTGTCTCGGAGGAAACTGATAAAACCATCGTGTTTCTCGCGGAATTGTGCGTAATAATCTATATATTTAATATCCTAAGGCTTTTTATGTCAGAACTTAAATCACTAACTCCTAACACATGCAAGATCTCCATTACCTGCCGATGTTACGGTTTACTTAAAGGCTTAGAGTCGTAAAATGGTTGACAGACTATTTTAATTATTTTTGTATGGTTTTATTGACTTTGGCTCTGACTTGTAAGAGATCATGAAAATGCAGCTCTTGTTTATATCGGGAGTTGGCGATTGCTGACTCACACCATCTAAATGAATCAGCAGGATTGCGGTCAAAACTGAAAACACGTGTTTTTCGTTTTGGAAACCCCAAACAAAGTGGCTACCCTGTCAATGTATATTATTCGCTCTTTGCATGGAGAGTTCGTCTTGATACAGAGCTGGACTCTCAGGATAACGTGGGATATCCCCTCCAGTACGGCATCAACTTTCAGAGCTTTTTTTAAGTTTTGGAATTTGTCTCGGAGGAAACTGATGAAACCACCGTGTTTCTCGCGGAACTGTGCGTAATAATCAGTGCTTAAATCACTAACTCCTAACACATGCAAGATCTCCATTACCTTCCGATGTTACCTATCTTCCTGTTGTGCGTGGACATCAATTTAATTTTGCGCTCAGAATGATCAATAACAACTTTTATGACTTAACTACTTTTTTTACCTCAAGATATTCGGAAGTAAATAGCCATGGGGCTGCGCAAGAGTCTAGAAATGAAAATGGCAAATCCATGATATTGAAAAAAAGCCCAATATCTAGCGACGAAATCGTGTCCCCGGAAAAACCGTTATACCGCTGGAAAGCCCATACAAAGGGCTTTCATTACATGTGATTTACATCATCCTATCCTACGAGCGTGCGCAGTACTCATTTTTTGATGTGCGAATGACGGGGGACCTCAAAAATCCTGGCAAGTTGGACTTTGATGGCCTATATCTCGCGACGAAATCGTGTCCCCGGAAAAATCGTTATACCGTTGGAAAGCCCATACAAAGGGCTTTCATTACATGTGATTTACATCATCCTTTCCTACGAGCGTGCGCAGTGCTCATTTTTTGAGGTGCGAATGATGGGGAATCTCAAAAATCACGCTAAGTCAGACTTTGATGGTCTGTATCTCGCGATAGAATCGTTTCCTCGGAAAAACCGAAATACCGTTGGAAAGCTCAAGTAAAGGGCTTTCATTACACATGAGTTTCGTTTTTCGGCCAGCGTGTGCAATACTAATTTTTTGAGGTGCGCATGACGCGGGACCTCAAAAAAAACGTTAAGTCAGACTTTGATGGCCTGTATCTCGTGATAAAATTGTTTCCTCGAAAAAACCTATATACCGTTGGAAAGCTCACACTAAGGGCTTCCATCACGCGTGTTGTTTATTTTCTTACCCGGTGTCCTAATACCGACTTTTTTAGGTTAACCGTACTTTTGCACCTTGAAAAAATAAAAAAGTGTCGATTTTTGGGTGAATTTGGCAACAATGGATAAAAAGTACATACGAAATGATAGCTCTTTTTACGCTCTATCAACTCAAACAAACCGCACGTTTGTATCTTTAATTGTTCAAAAGTTATGTGGTTGAACGTCTTTCGACTTTAAAATGGCAACGTCGCACTCGAGGGGCTGGGGACTAAACCAACCCCGGATCCGGAGGCCGGAAGTGCCCCTCTATCACTGGTATGAATTTCGTTAAATTTTGAAACGGGCGATTTTTGGGGGGGGTCTGTGCATGGAGTCCTTTCAAAGCCGAAGCGACATTTAAAAGGGAAGGAAAAAATTCGCGAAGTGGCTGGGAAACGCGTCTTCGCACGCCACGCTCGCAACTTTAGGCTCATTGCGGCACCATCTAAATTTTCTTTTTCCTCCATTTTTATTTTTTTTCTGTTATTTCCTCATCTAATGGAACCATTTGCAGGGTTCCGCACTTTAAATTTCCGAAAAGTCAAAAATAAGTGCCACCCTAATGGCCCGTGGCGTGACACCAAAGTGTGATCCTCGCGCCATCTACCATCGCCGCTGAACAACTCTCACAATAAAACAGGGAAAACCCGTAAAAACGATTATCAGGCTGGTTAGAAATGTGAACGCATCTAGACTCAACGGCCCGCTCCCGGACGAGAAAAACCACATATCCCCAAACTGTGCTTACAAAAGGGAGAGAGAGAGGGGGAGAGAGGGAGAGAGAGAGAGGAGCCACGCAGAGAGATCTATACCAGGTTACATCTTCAAGAATCAAAAGAAAGGTGTCAAAGTAGGATATAAAATTCAGGCCTTTGTATAGGAGATGTCTCTACTGTAAAACGCTACAGCAACAGCATAGGTACAGTACAAAACAGATGGACAATGCAGAATAGTCATAAATCACAAGTGGCTCCTAAGTTGTCTTTCATCTGACTCCTCGCCTAAAAAATTCCTTAAGAATATCGATTGCTTTACTTCATCATTGAAAGTATAACCAAGAATTCTCCGTTTTACCCTGATAGAACATTGAAACTCAATCAGTACCAAGCACCGAATCTGCATGACCAGAAGTGGCAGATGCAGGCTCATGAAAATGAACTTGTATCAAACTATTTCATTACAGTTCAGAAGATTTATGCTATTGCGATTGTTGCGTTGTGATTTCAGTTGTAATTTTTGCTGGCGAAAGCATAAACTTTTACTGTTTATCTTTTCCAATGAGGAGTGAACTGATCACATTTCTCAAGATACAGAATGCCATAGCTTTAGAGACAGCTTTCATAAAAACAAAAAATGTTGATATCTACTTTCTTTGCCCGACATTGTCTTTATGAGACGGTATCAAGCGTTTGAAATGTTATTACTGATGATGAAATTGGAGCTCTGAGAAATTGCGACTCAAATGGTAAAAGGACCTGGCAGGCTTAGCTTGGTGTAAGCAGCGCAAATGATGGAACTCCTGCACTGAGCTGCAGAATTTAGCTCGCATTTTTTCATCAGCTCCATGGAATCCAAAGAAAAGTGTCAGATAATGTGGGACATAAAAATTAGCCCTAAGCATAGGTGATGTCTCTAATGTAAATCCTGGTTGTGTGCCTACCGTACACAGGAGATGGAACATTACATCAAGGTCCTATATTAAAAGCGGCTTCCAAGTTGATGATTATCAGGGTTCTTGCCCGATGCATTCACCCACTTTGAAGGTGTGACAGAAAATAGACTGGTCATTTTTATTATTGAAAGTAAACCCATTGTTAATTAAAATGGCACTCTCCATTTCACCCTGTGACGCGTTTAAAATCAATCGGTCGATGTGGACTGTAGTTGACCGGAATGGGCGCATGGAGAATCATAATGATGAAAGTTATCAAATAGTTTCATTGCAGCAGGCCGATTATAGAAAGTTTGAAGCAGTCTGATAAGACATCGAAATGCGATATATTACATGGTTAAGATAGGGCTGTCTTGCCTTGTCGGACTGACAAAGTTTCAATAATCAGCTCGCAGTTGAGAAAATTTATGTCATCACAACTAAATTTTATTGTATACTATTTCATTATGGACGGAAAGATGTAACGGAAGTACCAAGATGATTTTATATGTTGTCTGGATAGGAATGCACATAGTGAACAAAGTAAGTAGCATCTTTTCGTTTCAGACACACTGTGTCCTCTCCTCAGTAATAAGAGAATCTTAAAAGAAAACTCACTCACAACCAAAAAGGTACCAAGAGAGGGATTCGTGACTCATGCAAAATTAAGAATCGTCACATTTGGAAGCATTATTCCTTGGGGCAGCATAAAATTGAAAACGTTTCGTGCGTTCAATGAGAAAACCATTCACGAATTTATATGGTTATTAATCACAGAAATAATATGACAAAGAAAAAGAGAAAGGAGCCAGGAGAAATTGTAATGATATTCTGCTCAAATCTGATCCAAAATTTCCGAACAAAACAATAACGTAACCTCTATCTACCGCTTTCCTGTAGTTTCTATCGTAGCCAATGAGAATTAGGCATTTCGTCAAGTGGCCCAATTTGGCCATGATTTTAATATTGTCCTGCGGTTTTTTTTCTGTGACGTACAGGGTGTGCTAAAAATATAGATCCTTCTTATTGATGTCTCGAGACCGATTTCAGATTAGTGACATGCGGTTTGAACGAAACTTCCTTCAAAAAAGAAGGGCCGCGTTTGAGGGGCGGGGGCGTCGTCTCCTCTCTGCCTCTCGCCCGGGGACAACTTTTAAATTTAGAATGAGAACTCTCTTTGCCTGATACTTCGTAGAAGCCATACCAAAAATACGTGGTATCCTTCCAAAAAAAAAACAAAAAAAACTTTTGTACAAAATTTCGGCCCAATCCAAAAAATGTCACTAATTACCTAAAAAAAAAAAAAAAAAAAAAAAAAAAAAAAAAAAAAAAAAAAAATCAGGCACAATATGATCCGATACAGAATCCGCTTTCTCAAATTGTAACATATAAAACTCTTGCAGAAGAGAGCACTTCTTTTTTTCGTCACCTTTTTCTAAAATTTGACATATTTAGCGAACATTTCCTTCGAGTTTTCGCAGCCCATCATATCTATTGCCATTTTACGATCAATTTTTGTTTAGAAGTACTTTTGCGCAATTCCATCTATTTTGTCCCAAATTTCGATATCATTCAATTTTTCCGTAGGTCCTCTAACACTTCCATCAACCACCTTTTTTACATTACATGATTTAAACTGCATTTATCTGGCATTTCCAAATTTGATCATTTTCTTTTCCTTTTAATCTGTCAATTTTAACAAAAGTGTCCTCCATTTTAAAATTTATTTCGTAGTTGTTAAACACCCAAAATCAATAATAATTCTGTAACTTTACCAAAAATCTCCAATTCGGTAATAACTTTTATTCAGTTCCGAAAATATAAATCTGATCCGCCCAATAAAGTTTATGACTATTTCTCATTTAGTCCCGGAAATCCATGATCTGCACAATAAAGTTGATGACTATATCTTATTTAGTCTCGAAAATCCACGATCCGCACAATAAAGTTTATGACTATTTCTCTTTTAGTCTCCGGATTTTGATGTGATTTCATGGCCGTGTCACGACATCTCTTAGCTCCTTCAATTCATTTTGTAGCATTCTCAGTTCTTCCATTTCCCGAGCCAGTTTTTTTTGTGATTCTTTGTTCCTTTTGCACCAAAACGATACGGCTACATAATTAATAACTGCTGCAATCATTGCCACTAATACGTAAAGAATCACGTCATGTTGTGTTAGATCCGACCTTTCATTATCCACACGAATGTTTTGGACCGGCGCGACGTTATTCACTCTATTTTCTGCCGGTTTAGATTGCGCTTTTCCTATGTTTACAAACCAAATAGCCGACGCAACTTAGAAAACTCGGAAACAACACGTTCTAACAGCCCATAACCTATCAATAACTAGAGTGAGGGCTTAGAGGGGAGAAAGTATAGCAGACAACCGTTAACCGAGTAGTAACAAAAATTTATTTACACCGTAATGAACTCAACTTCTCGACCTTCAAACACGTCATACGAAACATCTGCAAGTATAAACAGTTTATATTACATTTGGTGGACTATGGTCAAGACACTCTTGAGCTTGACGTCAATCAACACTGATTGTAGTTGTTTACTAATCATTTTTATTTGTTTTGTTTTCTAGGAAATAGATATTGCAAGGACAATCTTTATCCTCAGACATCAACGAATGTTGATGGTGCAGACAGCTGCTCAATACAGATTTGTTCATAGTCTCCTTTTATTTTATTCGAAAAACTCACGTTTAATTTGACCACAGATCATTCTTTCTGCACAAAGGCAGATCGCATAGGAACACCTTTACAGCTCCAATTCTCATGTTGGATTTCCAAGCTATTTCCACCCGTTTCTTATTTGTTTTGCTCCTCCTATCAGCCTTCGACTAATTTATCATTATTCGCTAGAAATTTTAAGTATTGTTTCGCAAGTTGCCTTGTACAGTTTTTCTGTATGCATGTTTCTAACTATTATTTTTACTACTATAAGTTTTTTTATATCCTGACTGTAATGTAGTATACTTAAAGATAAATTGTTTTTTACTGGTTTTGCATTCCTTTAATTTTTCCTATTGTTTAATTCTCACGAATTTTCCCGGAATTAATTAAGCATGGTGGCGAGCCTCATTGGTTTAGTGAAGAGAGCTCTCACAGTGAGAGCATCACCACTAGTCCTCATGAGGACTCTTTTAGAGACAACAAATGGCGGCGACACTAGGGTGGGTGTGCAGCACCCACCACGGGGTCCAGGTGGTTATGGACAGCATAACACTGAAAAAAACGTTTCCTAAATTCAAGGCGACGCCGTGTTGACCTAAGAAAATTGGATACTTGAAAAAAGTGGACAAGAAACGAATTCTTGAATGAAGAAAACGGTATTGCCTTGGTCGAGGAAAACGCGATTTCTTGAACCAAAACTCCTGTTGCATTGAAGCACGAAAACGTTTCCTTCAAATTAGGAAACGCCGCCGCGCGAAGAGTTTCCTAAAAGTAAGTAAGTGTTGTGTTGTTTTCAGGAAACGCTTCCTCAAAAAAAAGGAAACAGTACCTGCAAGCGTTTCCTTAAAATTAGGAAACGGCCGGTCCCGCCTCGTCGCTGCCTTGAGGAGCGGCTCCCCGCCTAGTGTCCATATCCGTTGAAGCGCATACCCCTGTTGTTGGTGCTGCCGGGGATGATATTCCCTTTACGTAGTTGACGCGCTTTGCGCTCCCTCTGGTATCCTGATGAAGAACTTCGTTTCGCCCTGGCTGAGGTTTGATCCTGTAACCTTCGACATTGTCCCGGGAAGAATGAAATTCTGACACCGTAGTCCACTCGGCCATCCTACCCTCGCGAGTGATGAGGAGTTATTTTCCTATGTTAAACCTATTCGCATCTATCTCTTTGGCTACACAGATGCCCACCTGCTACCATTCAATAGCACTTGGGTTTATCTAGCAAATACTACCTCAATTATCATTTAAATATATTAAATATCCACATATTTCCCTTTTCTCTCTGTTTATCAGCCGGTTCTCAGATATTATTTAAAGACCGTGGGCCATCGCCGCCATAACTTGACCAACGTATTCCCCGTTCTTTTTCATTCGGAGATAGTATGATCATGGAGTAAATTATTTTTTTTATTTAAGTCTGGTTAAAGAACAGATTTTCATACGTGCCTCTCAAAGGTAAATTATCACTCATTCGATTATCCAATCTGACGCCCATATCATTAAGGTTAATGCGTAAATCAAGGAGGCTCATGTGAGAACCGCTTCTCATACTGAAAGTAAATATGATTTAAAATTCCAATAAAGTATAGACAAAATAATCTAAGATTATTTAATGCTGGCTATAAAATTGGCACATAAAAGATAAATGATCTTTATGGAGTTTTCAAAATGCACTCGGAATAGCGGTAAAGATGTGATGATGATAAAGGCATATATAGGTAAATACTTTAATGAGTACATATCGGGCCGAGTCAAGCTTTCTGGGATTTGAAGACACTTAAAAATGTTCGAAGCTACGACCAGATTCAAAGAGTGTACTTGCAGTAAAATGTTGAAAAGCTTCACATTATTTATTTATACCTACATTAACGGACGCTCGCTTTTCTAAAGAAAATTTAAAGAAATTTTCGTCGAATTAGAAAATTCACCGAAAAATATTAAAGGAACTTTGGCTCTGATCCGTGCATTTCTAGATAGCATTCTGACATTTTGGACTGAAAACAATATTTTTGATAAGGCACAAAAATTGCGTTTTATCAAAATCTCCACCTTTCCGACGCGTAAATCCTTTACGAACAAGAGATTAATTGATAAAATTTTAACGTACTGAATTCGTTTGGAGTGGAGTGGATCTTACGAATAACGCCATCCAAGCGGTTCGGTCGGATTTCTGTGAAGGACCGTTCAAATAATATATAACGCTCTAAGGGAGAGAAAGCGTCAAGGAGAGAGATACGCCGTTTTGTTTTTACGTGTGAAAGAATAGGGACCTACGTCGCAAAAGCGTTACGAGGGAAGAAGTGAGTGGGGGTCCAAAAATTGGAAATTTAGCGTTACGTTTTTTATGAGCGTGATGTCACTCATGGGCGTAAGGGTGCATCGAAATTTTCACGTAGGTAAACCGTAGAGAGCATGGTGGTATACGGACGGAAGGGCTCATCATCTCAAAGTGTAGATGCGCCCTTCCGCCAAAGGAGCGACGGTATATTTAGAAGGCCCCTCTTGAGCAACTCGCCGAATACATGGTGGTGTACGGCACGTTGCATCCACCTCCTCAGTAGGCGTTTGGTAATTTTTTTGTTTCCTAATTTTAAGGAAATGGGTTTCTTCGATCAACATCACATATATCCTTAAATTGAGGAAACAGGAAATGCTATGTCCGTTTCCTAATTTTAAGGAAACTGATCTCTTCAAACGACACTCCATGGATTCTTCAATTCAGGAAACGGCTTTGCTTCTCTCCGTTTCCTAATTCTAAGGAAACAGGGTTCTTCGATCAACCCCACACGGATCCTTAAATTTAGGACACAGTAGCGATTCCCTCGTTTCCTAATTTTAAGGAAACAGTTTTCCCGTTTCAAGTATCCGTTAGTCTGTTTCAAGAAAACGTATACGTGGTTCAAGAAAGCATGGTTTTCTTAACTCAACACAATTTTGTTACCTTGGATCGAGATAACTGTTGGCTTGTTCCAAGCTAACACCGTGTTGGAATTAGGAAACTTTTTAAGGATACATGTTTCCTTAAATTTAGGACACGTTTTTTTTCAGTGAAGGCCTCTGGAAGTTCCACTCGTAATCGGTTCAGCCATGAGGCTCCGGCCTATTGGAGCTCTTAGGATCGAAAAAAATGGCGGATGTCACATTCAGACCGTTTTAGAGACAACAAATGGCGGCGACACTACCCACATAGCACAGAATCTTATGTCAATACTGATACATATTGTTGGATGTTGACATGATATCATCAACACTAATGCAGTATGATATTAAGATTGTCGGTTAAAAGGTATACCGCGTCAGCATGAATATAACACTGATACCTTCAATATATCAAACAACAGTATTGAGTCAATGCTGACGAGGTAAAAAAAAAATAATACGAAAAGAAATTAACACGAAAAAATGAAAAAGAAATATAGGAATTTTAAGAAAAAGAAGCCTAAGAAAACACGGTGTTAATCAAAGTTATGATGAAAGTCGAGCCGCGCAATGATGCTATGCATGCTATAACAGCCTTAACAGGCGTGATTTTAACCCGGAACCCCATCAGCTCCTTGTGGCTCAATGGCAGAATACTGGGCTAGGAATTCCGCGGTTCGAGTTCAAATCCACCTGAGGGCGTCCGGGTATTTTACGCTACTAAACGTCGCAGGACATCAAGTAAGTGGTTTATATTATTCAATACTTGTATACTTGTGTAATTCATGTTTCAAATATAATACATGTGTAGTACTATGAAAATGACGGTCATCGTCTACTTGACAGAGTGCGCTGAGTGTACAGACGTGTCATTGTTAAGGTAGTAACGCATACATATTGTCGGTGTCCTGCAGTGTTCTGATGACCTTGTCATAACCCTGATTTCCTTATGAAATCAACCTTTTCGGCCAATACTGTAACAATATTTTGACAGCTCCAAATCAGTAACTAATAAATACTGGCATAGTCTTGATATAATATTAAATCAGGATACATCAGCATTTTATAAATACTGACACTACTGACGTGTCAGTACTATTGTAGTATTATATCAATATTCTGTGCTATGTGGGTAGGGTGAGTGTGCAGCACCCACCACGGACCACGGGGTCCAGGTGGTTATGGACAGCATAAGACCTCTGGAAGTTCCACTCGTAATCGGTTCAGCCATGAGGCTCCGGCCTAATGGAGCTCTTAGGATCGAAAAAAATGGCGGATGTCACATTCAGACCGTTCGCAAGTTCAGACAACGGGGTCTCATTTAAATTTATGACCATGAAAACTCAAATCCCATAGGTAGACGTATTCATTTAGTTTTGAATCCAATTTCGCATGTGCCAACGTGACCGAACCTAACCTAAAATTATACATCTAGCGCTGGCCAAGGATCGAGAACTATGTGATACTGCTGAACCCTACTATAAATATTGCCCAGCAACAGTCCTGGAGAATCAGCACTTCTGGCTCTATTGGGATAGCCTGATCTTAACCGATAAAGCCATCATGGCAAACAGGCCGGCCATAGTGCTCGTTGATAAGCGAGATCGCACTGCTTACATCATTGATATTAGCATCCCTAATAATCATAACTTGGAGCTGAAGTATCAAGAAAAAATGGTAAAATATGTGCCCTTAGCTGCAGAAATGAAGCGATTATGGAACCTGAACATTGTTTGCATCAAGCCCCTTATAATGTCAGTAACGGGGATAGTTCAAAAAAGTTTAGTTCAACATCTTCGAGACCTTGGAATAGATAGTTACCTGCTTCATTCAATGCAGAAGTACGTCGTCACAAGCACGTCAAGTATTGTCAGGTCGTTTCTTAATTTCGAGTAATTTTTTTGATTTCACTTAAAATTTAATTTTTTTTTTTAAATTTTTTTTAATTTTACTTTAAAATAACATTTACTTTTTATTCAAGCAAGATAGTATGTGTTACTGACTTTGGTCTGTGGCCCGTCAGTAATACTTGTGCCGGAAGTGTTCCTTCTTCCGAGTTACAAAAAAAAAATAATAATAATAATAATAATAATAATAATAATAAAGTTCTCACCCCGGTTACTGCAAACCTTATCGTCGGCTGTAAATTGGCCATTCATAGCCAAGTTAACACCGGCCTTAACCCACTCTACTCTCTCTACCAATGAGCATTGTTTGCTCACGTGAAGAGAGCCCAACTACCCAGCAAAGCTGGAGATAACTTCACATATAAATAATAATAATAATAAACTGCACCATCCATCCACAGATATCGACAGGCTATACGTGAGCAGAAAATTAGGAGGCTGAGGACTTCGGCGAATAGAATCAACGTACAAATCTTCGATCATCAACGCGAAGTACTACCTCCAAGAAAGAA